TAGAGTAGTATATATATATATATATATATATATACACACACACACACACACACACACACACACACACAAATTTGCTACAAAAATCATATGAACTCAGATGGCTCAGTTGACCTTGTAACTTACCATGGAATGCTTCCAAACAACGGCCACAGAGAGTCAGCGACGACTACATCTATTACAATGCATGCATGGACGTTAAATACCGCATCCGTCCCTCTCGCTCCTCAGGCTTCCATGGCTTCCCAACCCCTCGCCGCGCTTGTGCTCCTGCTCACCGCCTCGCTGCTCGTGGCGGGAGCAGACGCGACCAGCCTCGAGATCCGCCACCGCTTCTCCGACCGCATGCGGGAGTGGGCGGAGGCCCATGGTGTCGCCGGCATGCGGTGGCCCCAGAAAGGAACCGTTGAGTACTACGCCTCCCTCGCCCGCCACGACCGCGCTCTCCGTGGCCGCTCCCTCGCCTCCAACTTCTCTGAGCTCGCCTTGGCCGACGGCAACGCTACCTTCCTGGAGCAAAACCTGGAATTGTGCTCCCTATTCCCTACAGACTCTCCTTGCGTTATCGTCGTTCTTCCGTCTCCTCCTCCTCCTCCTAATTGATATGGAAACTACATGTAGCTTGTACTATGCCGTGGTGGCGTTGGGGACGCCGAAGAAGCATTTCCTGGTGGCGCTGAACACGGAGAACGGCTGGTTCTGGGTGCCGTGCGACTGCCTGCAGTGTGCTCCCACCTCCAACCCCATCAAATATGGAGTGAGCCTCACTTCCCTTTATGGATGTTATAAAGATTCATCACAACCCTCCATCCCATCCTGTCTTCTAATCTCAACCGTCCGAGTCAATCACATTGCAGCAAAACGTGACCTTCAACGTCTACAACCCGACCAACTCCTCGACGAGCCGAAGCGTACTCTGCAGCGACAGCATCTGCGGCAACACCTGCCCTGGATCGAACGCCACCTGCCCCTACTCCGTCGATTACCTCTACGTCAACACCTCCTCCTCCGGCACACTGGTCTCCGACACCTTGTACTTGGTCACAGACGACGCCGCTCAGCAACCGGTGAAAGCACCGGTCGTCTTCGGGTACTCCTCTTCTCTTTCTTTCGCAGGTTCCTCCGCGTCTTGCATCTCATGGAGCCTTGCCATGGCGCTTGTTGCTTGCTTCAGGTGCGGGCGGAACCAGAGCGGCGCGCTGCTCGACACTTTCGCCCCCAACGGCGTGCTGGGGCTCGGCCTCGGGGAGATGGCCGTCCCCAGCGTCTTGGCAGCCGCCGGACTCGTCCCGGATTCCTTCTCCCTCTGTTTCGGAGCTGATGGCGTCGGCAGACTCGATTTCGGAGACAGAGGCGGCGCCGGGCAACCAAGAACTCCGTTGAACATGGACGGCAGGTAACGAGATCACATCGAGCTCTACAGTTCACACCATGCTCGTCTCACTTTGGTGTCCTCTGCAGCTCTTTCTACAACATCAGCTTCACTGGAATAGCCGTAGGGAATCGTTCGACAGCAGCGAGTTTTACTGCCATCGTCGACTCCGGTGTGGCCTTCACTTACCTGAGCGATCCAACCTACTCAACACTCACCGATAGCGTAAGACCATGACTCTGCTACAACATCCATCCAACCTCGTTCCAACATGCAGCACTCACCAACATCTTCTTCTCTTCCTCCGCAGTTCCATGCCCAAGTGCAGGACACCCCTCACAAGCCCGACCCAAATCTTCCCTTCGAGTACTGCTACGATGTCAGGTAAGTCATCTCCTTCACGTGGATTTCTTGGCATGTCATCCGATAAGCTTTGCTGATCTCCTCATGCAGTGGCTCGACTCAATCACCCAACATTCCCTCCGTAGATTTGACGACGGCAGGTGGAAGCAACTTTCCCGTCAATTACCCTTTAATTCTCGTGCAGGTAAAGATGAATTGGTGCTATGCCCTGTCCAAGCCATTGATCTCCGCATAACTTCTTCTCCTTTATACACAGGGGACAACATACTGCCTCTCTGTGGTGAAGAACGACGGATTCAATTTAATCGGGCGTAAGCTTTCCATTGCTTGTTTCGGGTTGCTTTCATTGTTGCGTGCACAGGAATCACGACGGGGCGTTCATGTTCTGTGCAGAGAACTTCTTGGAAGGACTTCGCGTGGTGTTTGATCGCGAAAGGTTGAACTTTGGCTGGGAGAAATCGGATTGTAAGTAGCAGCACATCTTTGGATAAAATCTACTCGCGATTTAGTGAGAACAGCAGCATCAACTACGTGTGGTTTCCCCTGTTATGTGCAGGCTACCAAGCTTCCAACTCGGTTGCAGTTCCAGCTTCTGCCCCTGCCCCTGCACCTGCACCTGCACCAGCGCCAGCACCAGCACCAGCGGCAGATTCTTCTCCGGCGAGCAGTCCCGATCTTCCTCCGGACATTGAGGCCCCGGCGGCCAGTCCTCCTCGTAGCGGCGCCTGGCGTTTGAGCACCATGAGGAGAAGCTTCTTTCTGATCATCCTCCTTCTGCTCACCATGGCCAAGCTCTGACCTGCAACTTGCCATGAATGCTTCCAGTCTACTCCTAATTCTTTTGATCTCTTTGGTGTCTTATATATATATATATATATATATATATATATATATATATATATATATATATATATATATATATATATATATATATCGGAGAACTGGTGGTGTTGTTTAATGTGGTACATAAATCTTGTAGACTTTTGAGCAAACAGGATTCCAAATTGCACATGATGAACAGTATTTAATATGCTTTGGTTTGTGATACGGAAGACTCAACTACAACTTTTATTAGCTCAGCTTAATTTGTGTTCAACTACAATGATATATATGTATTATTCCATTATAAACTATTTTGATTTATTGGCATTGTAAAATAACAAATGATGCAAAAGTTGATAGGAAATATTTCAACAACCATATCAGTCAGTCAGTTGGCCACCATCGAGGCACGATAATAACATGGGGCTAATAACGACCTATCAACCCCCGTGGACAATAATTCACGAAAAGCCATTGAGGCTGATTTTGTCGACCTTCATGGATAGTGGTCCTCGGATAGCTATTCAGGCATATTCCCTCTAATTCAACTTTCGTAAACGATAATTCGTAGAAGGTCATTTGAACTTGTCACCCTTGTAGACAAAACATCAAAGGGGTTATGAGGGTTACAAACGGTCCCCATGATCGTCCAGGTATAAAAGCTAATCCTCGACGTCTGCCCAAGGGTCAGATCTATCTTCACAAATCCCTTACACCTTATAATTCTAAGAGAACTAACTTAAGTGTCGGAGAGGTCGAGTCGGGAAACTTTATCTGATGTTGACCTTTGCATAGGATCCAACAAGGAGATTGGGATTTACCTCGGCATGATCTCGAAACCACCTCGGATCCCTTGATATTATGCCAACCATCGTTCACGACTATCATAAAAATTTCTCGAATAACGTTATGCCTTGGTGATAAGATTAAATCATATCAATTCATGAAAAGTAATTCTCTATACTAATATGCTGAAAATGATAAAAATATCTAATATATCATTTCTTTAAATAGCCTTTGTAGCATGCCAATTTGAGAAACTACACTAATTACATTTAATAAAATATAGTACTAATATCATATATTATATATCGAATATTATGATGTAGAAATGAATGAATATATTATTTATAGAATAAAAATAAGATAGTTAAAATGATGAGGAACATCAGAAGTCTTGTATAATCATTGAATATATGTAACATTGAAAAAAAAATTCCATAAGACAGTTATAAAATCAACAATGCTTTATGAATCTATTAGATAATTAAGAAATAATAAATATAAAAGTTTTTATAGTTGATATAAGAATGTTGATATAGATGTATGGAGTTAAAAAATAAATATTTTTATTTATGAATAACTGGCTATCACTTCCATAGAGGATAAAATAAGAAAAAAAATGTTTAAGATGGAATGAACATATGCCTTAGACTTATATATGCTTTAGCTAGAAAATATGAAATAAATAATATTAGTAGTATAAGAAGAGATATATAAAAACATAAAAATTAATAAAAATTATAAACATAAATTTAGATTCTCTAAATTTAACTAAATATATAATTATTTTACAAATCTCAATTGTGATAGAAGATTCATAAAGCTGATTCACTTCTTCTCATCTTTTTTCCATCTCACTACCTTCTTCATCCTCCTATTCTCCATTGTCTCCTCTTCCCCTACTTTTCCTCTATTACGAACTTAACCTCTCTCCTATTTGTTTCTTTGATGGATGCAATTCACAAATAGAGTTAGATCTCTATATTTTCTATGACTCGAATTGAAAGTTAGATTAATTATTTTAAAAAAAAGTTTAACTCATATTGAAATATCGATTTACAATGTATCAGTGCATATCATAGTAACATAAAATAGAAAAGAATGAGAAAACAAAAAGAATATTAGGAGTGTGAGTGAATCAATGAAGAACGAGAGACATATAATCTTTAATAAGAAAAACGAATCGAATCGAATGGTACGAAAAAGAACTATTATATTTAGGATTTAGAGTATATGTCAATCGGAATTTAGAAACATACAAAGGTCATTGACTTATTAAGTAAATTTTAGAATCAAATCGTATAAAAAGAACTATTATATTTGAGATTTAGGGTTTAGATCAATCGGATTAGGAGCTTGGCACAAAAATGTCATACGTCAAATCTCGCACACCCTGACATGTCACAATGAGTCCTAATTCGACTCGTGCTAATCGAAGCCTAAGCCTACTCTGTCCTCTGTCGAATCGATCATTTGCTATCTCCAGCACAACTCCCAGTAACAGTTCTGATCGGAATCAAAGCATAGTGCGACAGCAAAATGTCAATTTGCGATAAAAGTGGCTTTAAGTGGTCTTCACGCGACACTCAGAGCCTAAAATCTAATTTTCCTCTCTTCATGAAGAAAGAGACTTCATTCATTGAGTTCCACAATGCTTCTCCATTTCCCATCATTCATTAGATTTGATGTTCCACAATTCTTCTCCATTTCCCATCATTCATTAGATTAGATTTGATGTCCTCGTGAAGACCTATCACACAAACATACATAAAGTAGTCCTCATAGATCAGCTTAAACTTTTTTTACATCCCATATAAGACTAACATAGAAAATTAAAAGAAGAATATGAGACTATTAGATCAAAATTTTCAGAACCAGCATAGAAAGATGTTATGGCATTTGATTGATGTGAATCACATGATCAAAACCTTCGAATTTTGGGTCAACGACAAGTGCACGTATGTGAACTTGACTTGAAAGCACCTTACTTGCTTTTTCCGTGTGCATCACATGAACGAATGCTTCCAAATTGACCCTGTGATTAGTACACCTTGGCATGAACTTGACTTTAAAGGGCTATTGTTCTTCCTGAAAACAACAAGAAAGTTTGAGGTATTTTATGCGTACACGTTTGTAACCCTTAAAGCATGGGGCCTATGAATAATATATTTACATAAACTTGATGTCGAAGTATTAATTTAAAGGTACAGATATAGATAAACATTAGCTTCGTGTTTGTGTGGATCACATGGTCGGTCGTCTGTATTAGTATTTTAAGGTGTTTGATTGCTTAGGCAATTAAGAAAACCAAATGGGCTATTCTTTGGATTAACGAGCTAACCAACATTTGGACTTTGAACACCACACACTAATAAACTTTAATTATGAAGTTTCGGAAATAATTCAAGTAAATTTAATATCTCAATAAATCTTGGACATTTTGCCTAAATTTTTTTTAACCTAATAGCACTCTCGTAATTGAGTTTTATTTGTAGTGTTTGTTTTCATCAAAATGATAAAAATATTACTTCACCTTCCATCGATCGTTCTTGACTATTAGTAGTTGTCGTCCTTCCTCCTTTTTCTATCCTTTTCTCCTCTACTAGCTACCTTTCTCTGTCGCCTATTGCCTCTTTCCCCTCCTCCTTCGTCGTACTCTTTTTTTTTTTTTGCTTATCCTTCCCTATTGCCTCTTTCCTTCCTCCTCCCTTCCCCTCCCTTTCTATGTTCTTTGTGCTTCTTCTCCTCCCTCTCAACCCCACCAGAGGTAAAATTGCACATCATTCTTATCATAGAAGTGATGGGGGAGTAGGGGGTAAGGGGTGATAGTAGAAGAATATTTTCAATTACTTCGACGAAAAAGGATACCCTTATGTAAAACACTAATTATAGGGTGTTATTAGGTAAAAGTCCAAAATAAGAGTTTTTAAGATAAGTCAAGATTTAATTATGAGATAATCTAATTTTTGATAGTAAATGTTTTGAACTAAGCATTAATATTGAAGGGCGATTTCTCTACAAAAATTTTTTATTTTAGGAAATTTTTTTAGATGATACATTTCATATTTACTTATTCCATTTAGTGTTCTATTTTTTTTTTAATACACTAAATGCCTCTTGTGATCACTAAATGTCCCATAGTGTATCCGGTGCCAAGTGCATAAAGGGCTGAAAGTAATACGATCGCAGTACAATTAGATATGGGGGTTGACGATAAGGTTTCACTATATATTGGAAGACATGGCTACGATGAGACATTGGCAATGATAGAAAGTATTAAAGGTATTAAAAAAAAATGAAACACCAAATAATAAAACTCAAAATGAGGTCAACATTCTAGAAAACCAATTAGGTGAACTTTACCATCCAACCTTAAGATGACTCAAGAATATATTACTTTATTGTATTATGTTTACTTAATTACTATTTATAATATATTACAACATTACTCACAGCTATTATAATAACTATAGTAATCTTCGAGTGCATGCATTCGAGAGTTGGATGAACGGATACGTTTCATCAAAACAACCTCGTTTTCTTTTCATACGAACAATTCTACCGTCTTTCGTCAGCAGCTTTATGCGGTGTGTCGTCACCAACATTGCCGTCAATGCTGTGACTTCAATTGGCCATCCACGTTGTTCACTCACAGACACACACTCTCTCTCTCTCAGCAACATCAGCAGCTGATGACCTCACCGTCCCTATCCATCTCCCTTATTTATACCTTCACCCGAGCTCCACAGTCTCCACATCCTCACGCGCAATCTCCCTTCTCCATTGTCCGAACGGTGCGGTGAGACGCAAGCATGGAAGGCGTGGCGGACATCGTCGTCGTCGGCGCCGGGATAGCAGGGCTGGCAGTGGCGCTGGGCCTCCACAGGTAAAAGAGCCTATGAACTCGCATCGAACAGATCTGGTGAGCTGACGGGTTGAAGCACTGTACTTGGACCGTAGGTCGGGGCTGCGGAGTCTGGTGTTGGAGTCATCTGATAGCTTGAGAGCTTCTGGCTTCGCCATCACCACATGGACGAATGCGTGGAGAGCGCTGGATGCGCTCGGCGTTGGAGACGCGCTCCGACAGCAGCACGTCCGGCTTGAACAGTAAGCGATGGCAATGGCTATCCGTCAATATCGTATACACGCAGTTTTATTTGTGTGGTAAAGAAGAGTCTCAAATTGTTAGATTACACTTGTAAATTAAATGATCCATCTTTTAATCTTTAAGAACAGTAAAACAAATATATTTTTCCTGTTAGATTGGTTTTTGGGAGATCAAATATTAAAATGTTTATTTATTTTTAGCTAGATTTTTTTGTGGAATCCATTTTTCCTAAATCACTACAATTTCAACACAAAGCTTGTATGGCAGACTGAAAGGGACGATTCCGTATGCATGCACTCAACCTCAATATCAATAGCCTGGAAAGGACAGATCTTTGTCTTCGCTGTGACATGTGTTGACAGATGCTGATGAAACATGGCGTTTCGATCTTGCAGGCTCGTTGCTTTCTCTGCATCTTCTGGGTCTGTCACCACAAGGCTATCGCTCAGGGCACGAGGGAAACAGTAAGCGTCATCTCCTCCATGTTTCTTGATGAACTTGTTCTTATCTTTACACTCTCTGCGATGTGGTTCCAAGTATCGGGAAGCATGAAGTCAGATGCTTGAAGAGGAACCTACTGGTCGAAGCCCTGGCCCAGGAGCTCCCTCATGGCACCATCAGGTACTCATCCAAGGTGGTCTCGGTGGAGGAGGCAGGCACAGTAAAGCTCCTTCACTTAGCGGATGGATCCACTCTCAGAGCCAAGGTGCAGACGCTTGCTCATGTCCCTTCCTTCTCTCTTCGTCTCTGACGCTTCTCCCTCGTCTGCAGGTCTTGATCGGGTGCGATGGGGTCAACTCCGTCGTAGCAAAGTGGCTGGGCCTCAAGGTGCCAGCTTTTGCCGGGCGGTATGCGGCCAGAGGGATCGCCACTTTCCCGGACGGCCATGCCATTAATCCGGAGTTCGCGCAGCACTTCGGAACTGGCTATCGATCAGGGATGCTGCCCTGTGATAAGAAAAGCGTTTACTGGTTCTTCACCTGGACTTCTGATGGAGAAGGTTGGTGAAAGCTTTGCTGCCTGCAAGTCCGTGTGCTCGTGTCCTATGGATCGGTGATGCTATGCATGTTCTTTGTTCTTTCTTTCTCTCGTTGCGCAGACAAAGAAATGAGAAAAGATGCTGCAAGGGTCAGGGAGTTCGTGCTCAGCAAGATGAAGACCGCGAAGGTGCCGGAAGAAGTTCTACACGTCATCGAGAGGAGCGAGCTGAGCGGCGTCGCGTCGTCCCCCTTGAGATACAGGTCGCCGCTCAACTTGCTGTGGGGGGACATCAGTAAGGGAAACGTCTGTGTGACCGGCGACGCGTTCCATCCCATGACGCCCGACCTCGGCGAGGGCGGCTGCGCGGCCTTGGAAGACGGAGTCGTCCTGGCCAAGTGCTTGGCCCAAGCTCTGATCGGTGCCGGCCAAGAGCGTTCCGAAGAAGACGAAAGCCGCCGGATCGAGGCGGCGCTGCGGAAGTATGCCAACGCCAGGCGGTGGAGGAATCTTGATCTCGTCGTTACCTCTTTCGTGGTGGGATTCATACAGGAAGGTGGCAACTGGGTCATGAACATGATGAGAGATGAGGTTTTGTCTGGTTTGCTGGCCAAGAAGCTGTTGAGTGAAGCTGACTTTGAATGCGGCAACCTTTGAAGTCAATGCAATTGCTGCTATGGAATAAAGGCTAATTTATTTATCTTAAACCTTATATTGGGAAAAAGACATTATAAAAAGGTCAAATCCAAAACTGAATCCAGGCGGATTAGAATTGACTTTCGGAGGCCGGTCAAAGACACCTTCACTCCAACATGAACAGATCAACAACAACAACAACATCATCAAGGCAAAGAAGAAAAGACTCTCAATGTTTACGTTGCTTCCTCAGTTTCAAGCTCTATTGAGCCTTTTGCAGATTACATATCCACAGTCACGTACGGTTCCTGTCGACGACACACGACGAGGATGCAACCGAATCATCGTCTCCTGGACCTCTTCGCCCCCCCAGCTCCTGCGCAGAGGCTGATAGGCTTCGACAAGTCGTACAGATCCGCGATCGGACGGTACCGCTTCGTCCTCCGCCACGGCCCCGTCTCCTCCTCCTCCTCCTCATCCTCCTCGGCTTCCAACAAAATTGCCTCAGGTGGCGGCCGCGTGTTGAGGGATCGCGTGGAGGAAGAGGAAGAGGAGCAGGAGGAGGAGTCGGCGCTGCTCTCGCTGAGCTGCACGAGCTGCTGCGCCGCCGCCAGCTCGGTGGCAGTGAAGAGGTCGCTGGGCGGCGGGGCAACGGCCTGCGCTCCATCGGAGAGCAGCAGGAGGTGGTCGGAACGTGCAGGGCTCGCCATCATCGACCTCGCGTGCGTTTTCCCGGCCTCGATCGTGTATTATATCGTACTGGCAAAAAACAGGAGACCGACTTAGGGAGGTCGGTTGCGGCACGGAGTCTCGTGGATTATTTCGTGGATTGTGGCGGCGGAAGTGACCGTTGGGATCGAGTCGCTTACATTTAAATAAGCCCTTGAAAACTCGTACCCCGACCGAGTCTCCTTGTGCACAAACAACTACATATGTCACGACCCACGTCATTTTTGTTGACCGTTGACGATTTCCACAGAAATAAAAGCTTATTATGGACGTCAGGCTCGGACGCATAAGTTCCAATATTGCATACATATATCTCTACAAAAATTAGATTTTGGATAGATATATTCGTATATTCCTTTAAATATTTAAATCTTTCACTTTACTAGATATCATTCCTTTGAATATTTCTTAGAGCAAGTGGCTTGGATGAGAAGAAATGTGACTTGGGCAAATGGAGGCAATTTAGATAAATCTTGTTACTAATTTGAAGGGATATAAGTGTGTATATATAGTTGTACACCCCAAAATAATGTGTGCATGTGTTGTATGTTTGTTGGGGTGAATTATATATGGAAAGCCAAAAGAATTAAGTTTGATCTCTAAAAGATAAGGAACATTATCAATAAAAGTATCTCTCCTTTCTATTAGCTTTGAATGCATCATCAACAATCTTGTAGTTCCATCTGGACTTTAAATCTCGCAAACGCAGTGATCTCCGCATGAGTGTCGGATAGAGTGGTGCGAACTCAACCCGAGCTTGATCCAAGCCGTCGAAATCGCCATCGTGGATGGTGGAGATGGCTGCTCATGTGAAGATATGTGAAGATGTGATGTGATGTGATGTGATGTTCCAATAATAGCCCTCGGAATCGAGGCTTATCCTTCGCGTCTCCCTTCGTCTCGGCAAGGAAGAAGAAAGGACACGTGGCGGTCTCTTGTGCTCTCTCGGGTCTCTATTTAAGTACATGCACAGTGCATTGGGTCTGAAGAAAGAGATCTTCTTGCAGCAAACCCCTCGGAGTTTCCGCGGTCTCCCGTTAAACCCCTTTCTTCGCTTCTTCTCTCGCTGGTATTTTTCGCACTAAACCCCTCGAAGTTTTCGCACTTCTCTCCCTCTCTGTCTCTCTGATCGCCGCGATCGCTCGTCCCCGCCCTTTCAACCCTAACCGCAAAGCCTTCTCGATCATGTTGTTCGCGTCACCTTCCTCCGGCGGCGGCGGCGTGGGCTCGCCCGCGGCCCACGTCCTCCGCGACGACAGGGACGACGCTCCAACCTCTCCTCCGACGGCGCCGACCCGTCCCCTCGATCGCCCCTCGCCTACCGTGAAGAGTGCGGCCCCGCCCTCAGATGCCGCCGCCGCATCCGCTTCCCACCGGCCGGCGGAGAGCAGCGACCACGGTGGCGACGGCAATGCGGCCGCCGGGGCTCGCGGGAAAAAGGCGGTTTGGAGCGTGGCGCCCAGCGGCGCGAACGAGACGGGCCTGGTAATGGGGGCGGATTCCTTGGCCGCGGTGTCTGAGTCCGCGCTCAGGCCGTCCGCCAAGACTTCCGATTCGGACTCGTTGGAGTCTCTCCCGGATGGATCGTCGGCTACTGCCCCCTCGGTGTGATCTCGTATTGCCTTAATTTCTAATACACTTGAATCGCAAACAGCGCTTCCATCTTTTTATCGTGTATTTGCATGTAGAGTGATCCTATGTGCGCGTTATTGTGATCGTTTCTTCACTTCTGAGGCTAAATTACAATGACGCGTACCCTAGTTTTACCGGAATAACGATGCTCTTGCTTGCCAGAAACCTAATACCAACCCTGTTTCGATGTAGGATGGTGGCGGCACTAGCAGCAGTCCATCAGCCAATGATGTTCGTGGAGCAAATGGACAAACTCCTATTTTGCCAGGGATGCCTCCAATTGGTGGCAGAGGCCAGGAATTCTCTCCGGTGGAGATTGCCAACAGGCACAATAGGAATCCGGGTCAGCAAAGGAGAGTCGAGTTCATGCCAAGGCCGCAACGTGGCGGCTATCGCCGCGGAGGCAGCTATAATGACAGGCGAAGGGGAATCAATAGTGGCGGCCCCAGCCGCGAAGGCAATGGAAGTCGGCGGGATCATGAGCGAGGAGGCTATGATCGGAACGGCCCTCGAGGTTTTAGTAGGAGAGATCCACACATGTGGATGCCTTTGCCTCCGCAGCAGGCACAGATTCAACCACCTCCGCCGCCTCCAATGTGTTATTATATTCCCATGCCACCACATAGGCCTCCTTTCATGAGACCCATGGTCTCCTACCCTGGTAATCTGTGCTTACATTCTTATGTTCTAACTTTGACATACGTGTCTCATGGTTTTGATGATCTTCACGTTCTTCCCATCAGAAGTTCCTTATTATGTTTATTATCTCCCGGTGCCACCTCCGCATCCTCAGACACCCATAAACATGCCTTTTGTTCCTCATCAACCAGTGCCTGTTGATTACCAAGCAACGATTCCTTTTCCTTCTCCCGTTGATCATCACCAGTTGATGAAGCAGATAGAATTCTACTTTAGGTACTATTAAGATTCTTTATGGCAATTTAACATTTTCAATTGCAATTCATTTCCTATCTTTTAATGATTTTGCTTTTGCAGTGATGACAATCTCAATACTGACACTTTTCTGCGAAATAATATGGATTCTCAAGGTGGGGTTCCAATCTCCTTGGTTGCTGGCTTCAATATGGTTAGTATTGTTTTAAGCTACTTGGGTTGCTTCTTCACATCAACTTATGCTTATCACCTTGGCACTATCATTGATGTGTCATTTTGGAGAACTAAATTTTCCTTTGGCATCACTTCTGTTGCACGTTTCCTGAAAATAAAATAACTGAGGCTTCTGTTTTTATTTTCCTTTACTTGTTTCATCACAACTTTAACTGAGACCTTTATTGTCAAAGAACAGGAGGTTCATTTACTTTCAGTGAGATGGAATCTTAAAGGTCATGAAATTGAGAGATCATTTTACTTGTAGAATTTTTTGAAATAATGTACTTGCTTAAACATGACACACAGAAAAGAGGAAATATTGTTTAAGTAATATGATGCATTATGATCATCTTAAGCTTTTCATTTTTATGTGTCTCTAATGATGTCTGAAACATAGTTGTTCTTTCTTCCTTCTTGTGATCTTTTGGTGGAGTTCGATGCCTTTATTTCTGCTCTTACGGAATCAGCATAGTACTGAAACATAGTACCTTTTTTATTGGTGTCACATACGGATGTTGAGTCGGATGAGAAGCATTCTGTTGATGTATCTCTTTTTATTCTTTTCAGTAGCTTTGAGGTATTGAGATATTTGCAATTGCCTATGGCTGATTATTTGACTTGTATTATTATGTATGCTCTTATAACATTTTATTCTAATTCTTGAACTAATCATCAAGGATTATCATTTATCATGGATAAATTGTGCCAGCATATATGAGCTAGTCAAATTGGTGTGGTACTTCCATGGGTATGCTATGCTTGGCATGCCTCAGTTTGACAGTTCATTGATAATCTGATTATTAGAAGTATTTACATGATTATTTAGGAAACTTGTATGCTATTTCCTCTCTTGCATTGCTGATCATTATTTTCCAAGTATAAGATATTTCTCCATAACATCCAATAAAATTGTATAACAAATCTTAAAATAAAACTTTTTTAACTTATTGGAAGATATGCAGAATGATTTTTCTCATGCCCAAAGGTCACAAAGACAAACAGACACTAGTTTTCCTTTTACTTGCAAATTAAATTGTTGTTCGTTGTCTCTTTGTCTCGGCTCCAAATATTTCCTATCTATGTCAAACTGACCATGTGTATCTTATAAGAAAAAATTGTACTAAAATGTCATATTAGATTAATTTTTTTTATTAGTAATTAAAATTGGTTCTTGTTCTGTTGGGAGTCACCTTGTCATCACAGTGCCTGGCTAGTCCATAGGTTCATGCTTGCAATTCCCTTCACTACCCTTGCATATTTGTGAGACGTCTATCTGAATCTTTCGGCCAAATATCTCATTTGCTTCTTAAGTTAAGCAAAGTGAAGGTTCTGTAAAAGTTTTATTTTGGAATGTGGAAATGGTATGCATTGACTTGTTCCTGGTGTGTTGGTGATTACTTTGCTGTACTTAACTATTGATAATAGAAGAACTTAGAGGGTTAGTTAAAGAAAAAGGAATATTACCCAGCCTAGTGAGTTAATTTGACACAGAAAGAAAACCACTGGCTGGTTAGTCATGTATGTGTGGTGATGTATCTCTCTGAATTGGTTTAATGGATGCTGATAACTGTAGCTGCTTAAGAACTTCAATTTTTTACAATATGTTTCTTATGAGCACTATATTTTCTTAAAAAAAATTACTTACATCAGGGATTTGCATTGTAACTATTTTTGGTTTGCCACCTCTAGTAATTCAGATATTAACTTTGAACACATAAAAGAGATAATAATTAAATTGACTAGTGCTTTCTCAGACAAAGCCATAACAAGAGTGATTATTCCTCCTGGATCTTTCAAATTTGAGATAATGTCTTGTTGGTTGCAATCAGTTGTAGAATACCGACATTTTCACATGTGATATTGTTCTTGTGTTTATGTTTGAAAAAATGCTTTGTGAATGCGAATATTTTATTTTTTTAATGAAATTGCCTATGATTATTGTGCCATGTGCTTATAGTAACTTCCTGTGATCTAAAAGCCATGTTGGATATTCATTCATAGCTTGTTTCTATTTTGATTTTCCAACTTTTTTCAAAAGTTTCATCCAAGCCTGGTGCTGTTACTCGCAAAGAGGTTGCGGCCACCACCTGTCTAGGTCTGCTGCAGGAGGCCTCACCTGTCTTTTCATTCATGTTTCTCTAGTCATTAAACAATTATCTTATATAGCTTATTACCAAATCTTAGTGCTTCGAACTGGATTTTGCTTATTACCAAAGTTATCTTATAGGATAACTGTCATATGTTTAAGCATATTTATTGGTTTTTTCATATCTTCTGTATTTAAATGACAAAGGAATTGTTAATGTTTCATTGCACGCAGGTCAAGATGTTGACAAATAATGAACCAAACAGCCTACCACATATATTGACTGCTTTGCAAGTTTCAACGGAAGTGGAAGTACAGGTACAATTTAAACATTTTCAGTTTTAACATCTTATTTATGTGTTAAATATTCCTGGAGCTGTTTCTTGAGGAACATAGAATAATGGTTCAGTAGGCGCCTTTGCCAAGTCTTGATCCGTGCCAATGTCCAACAATTTAATCAAATAATGGATATATCTGCAAAAATAGAGAAGGAAATGGATACTACATTTGTGCAAATTTATGTGGGTCATGTGCTAACTACCACTCTTGTTGATGCAAAATGCAGGGTGACAAGATAAGGAGACGCGATGGTTGGGTCCCTAACCGAAATCAATATGATCTCGCTTCTGGTCCCCGATCTCCTGCAACACCAGATGGTGATTCAGTCATTGCTCTCTTGCATACTTTTGGACTAGAGGGTTCTTCTAGCCAACACAGTACGACTCCGACTGACAATGTGTGTCTTGGTAATAAATCAGCTTCTGGAAGTTCCAACAACCAGATGCAGGATGGAGTCTGACTGAAGATGGAATCAGCCAAGCCAGACTCAGAATGGAATAGCTAGGTTCAGCTGCTACTGATATCTAGTTGTATAGTTTGGTTTTCCTTGATTGGTGATATCTCACTGGTATACATGGTCTTTGGGGTTGATTCTGAATCCCCCACCTTTTTTTTAAGTCACATACCACCATTTTTTGGTGAAGAAATCGATATCAGCATCGGTTCTAATTTGGAGAAGTGGAAATTTTCACTGTTTATATAATTTTTATTCTTCTGCTGCAACAGGAATCGATTCTTCAGAAACAGTTCCGATAGTTTCGAATAAATATATTACTGACATTACAGGGAGAGTTTTGTACTTTTTGTATATACTATACATTCAGTGTGCTTTTGTTGTGATTCGTGGAGTCCGTTGCTTCGATTTCTGTAATCAGCATCAACAACTAATGAAATCTTATGTTTGTTGGTTTCTTATCTTTCTTTTAGTCTTCAAAGATGCTTCATCGGGTACCAAGTGTGCTGCTTTGTTCTTGCTGATGGATCGTAGTCGTATGAGGATATATATATAGTGTACATATCCTGTCATTGAACATGCAACAAGTTCATCTGTTCATGAGTTCATCATCAAGCAAAATGTGGGCTTTGGTGATGTTATGGATGCAGTAGTTGCCTTGGGATGGACTTTCTTTTCTTTTTTTTTGTGTGTTTCTGCTATGTTTGATGTTTGGACAACATAGCAAACACAATTTTTCGTCATTCTTCCCAACTGCTTTTGTCCCAAATGGTGAACAGGTAGAACAAATGAAGAAATAGCAGCAGGTGGATGAGGAAGAGACATTTGTGTCAAATGCCCAACACAAATGGTTCACAAGAACTTCAAATTGCAGCTAAGACATCAAAGAGGAGGAAATCATAAGTAGTGAGATTAGGAGGTGGTTCTCTTCGAGAAGACAGTTCTTATCAGATCTTTTAGCACTTAATAACTACATCTGTTGATTCTCAAGATGCGAAGAATCTTCTTCCAAGAACAAAAGCTCAAATCAAATATGAACTTTTTATTGCAAGGTGAAAGCTGACTCGAGATTAAACCGAGGAATCATCCTTTGGAGTTTTCTCATGCATTTCTCCACATTGGCTTAAAGAAGAAGCCACCTTGGTGTGTTTGAAACTAAGTTAGTTCTTGTCATCCATCTCATACCACCAACCTCAATTTGACCCCTTACAGTAATTATTTGGAAGATAGGGTGGAAAGAAATGAAAGATACCTAAGGAGGACTCAAAAGATGGTCAACTCTAACTTTTTGTAAGCCATTAAGCTTTGCTGCTATGGCACTACTACTGCACATGAACCTTGAAAAGATTCCAAGCAGATGATTGAGCCAAACAATCACAGTGTCTGAGCCACATAAAAAAGTACATGGAAAGAAAGCCAAAAGCTAAAGGAGATAGAGTAGCTAACAATCCTCTCCACCATGGCAGTGGGCTGTGACCTGTCTTCCATGAACAGTGAGTGGGTTGTTGGTTGCACCACTCTCTTGTGGAAGTAGGACTCAATTAGGTATACCTTCATTGCCAAAGATCCAGTCTTTCTAAGGGATGGCAGCAAGAAGATAAGCCAGGGGAATGCTACATCATGTTGGGCAGCTTAAAATACTATGTGTTCTGCATTACCCACTCAGCTCCCTATCTGTACTATCTCTCTCTCTCTCTCTAAATTTCATGTATTTTATGTTGGAAAAGGCTTTGTCTGTGTGATCTCTGATTGATGCTGCAAGAACAGTAGAGGGAGTGAGTGAACACACAATACTAGGCCTGCAGTTTCTGTTGTGGTGTCACTTTCCATGCTCCTCATGTGGATGAGTGCCTCACAAAAAAAGGTAGTGGGACATTATTTTACTGCTAATGATATATTCACTCACTCACATTGTTTCACCTAAATTGTGTTTATGGATATTTTTTTTGAGTAAACTAGCAAAAATATTTCTCTCATGACTTTAAACTTAAGCATTAAAATGATTTCATAAAAGATGCAAAAGTTTTTCATAAATGAACTAAGATTGGAAGTTCAAATCAATCATTCAAATTAGAAAAGTATCTCAAATCAAGTCTTAAGTGAGGTCTTTTTACATTTATTTTACAATCCTACTTAAGAATTCTACTAAATTCAATCATCGAAAATAATAAGATTTGATTATCAAAATGTTAAACATTAATACGATGATGATATTTTTATACCTTAAATATTGATATGCTTATGGTGTATCAAACTCTCTTACTAAAAATTAAGGATTCGAAGTCTCAATTAATATTTTTATATTTAAACATTAATTTAGCCATAATATATCAAAAAAATTTTATTTACAATTAAATATTAAAAATCTCATCTGATATATTTTAGAGAGAGAGAGAGAGAGAGAGAGAGAGATGAATTTAATTAGATATAATGCAGTCAAAATAGGTAGGATTTTTGTTGGACTGCAAGATTCTGGCATGAGCAGTATGACTCCATGAAGTCAAAGCGAAACATGCATTTGGCAGCATGTGGTGGCTTTCACGTGCTACCGGCAGAACATACACGCCTTGTGGTCCGTAATTGATGTGCCTCCTTTTGTTGCTTACTTCCTTCGCTTGCATGCGAGACCGGAGAGTGTGCGATGTCAACTCTTTCTCGACTTGATGTGGCGAAGGATTAAGATTTTATACCAACAAAAAGAAAGCTTTTCTTTCTTAATTCATTGTGCGTGTCTTTTCTTCTTCTTCTTCTTCTTCTTCTTTTTTTCTGAGGGAGAGAAAATTTGGAGGAGTTTTATGAGGAGATGTCGGAGGAATTAAGTGCTCTGCCACTGATGCGATGAGGCAGAGAGGGATGAAGATAGGAGGAGGAGACCCGTAGAAAGAAGATGCAGTAGACGACGAGCGCTCGTGCCGCGTCGCTCCAAAGGAGGGGAAAGAGAAAGCTCGCTATTTTCGCCCACAGGTTACAGCCGACCGATCGATCTCTCGCTCTAAGCTATGCCTGCTGCGCCTCACCCACCTCGATGATGCTCCCCACCCCCGTCCCCTCTCTCTCTCTCTCTCTCTCTCTCTCTCTCTTACTAA